AATTATTATTGAGTTAAATACAGCAAAGTTATAGCATCATAAAAATGTCCCGATAGAAATTTATAAGTAAATTAAAGAGGATAAATGGAACCAGACGAAACTATTACAAAAGAAGATTTAAAATAGTTTTCTATGACTGTTTAGAGAAGTAATCTGCACTTTTCTTAGCATCTGGAACAATCTGAAATTAAAAATTAGCAAGAATAGCTGTTACATGGAGCCACACTTGACAGGGATGAGGGAGAAGGAACTTCATGGCATTATTAAATTATTAAATAATTTAACCTACTTGTGGTCATTTTTAAACAAGCGATCACAATCCATTTAAAAGGCATACACTGTAACTTATCAGATGCACCTAAACCTTTAGTCTTTGCGCATCTTTATGCTCACAAGCTAGAGCAACAAGAAAGCCTGAGGCCAATTAAGTAAAACGTCTACAAGTGCAATTTACAAGTGTAGGTAAACACTTATGTACAAACTAACTCACGGTCTTAATTCAACACTCCAAGAGTCGCACGAGGGGAAGCCATCAATTATTATTTAAATTTCGCGCGCCATATGCAAATAAAGACGTTTTTAAATTTTGGTTTTTTCCAAAAACTTTTGCAGACTGGAACTGCCTCCTTGAGGCAATTGTTTCATCAACCTCTTTAGGAACTTTTAAATACAGGTTACCAGCTTTTCTCAAATAATAGCTATATACAGTTTATATAGTTTTCTTTATTTAACTTTTTTATCATTATTTCATATATTAATAAATCTGTATTTTATTCATTTAGTTATTTCATTTCTTTATTTTTTGTTTTCATTTTTACAGTTGGTGTGATATCTTAACGATTTTACCGACCCAATACATGTAAAATGTAAATGTAAAGGTTAGCCTTTGTTATTAAGTTTCTTCGATCCTGCAGTAACATGTTTCTTCTCCGTACTAAAAAAAATTCATGGGAGAGAGAAAAGGGAGATTTTCTTTTGCTACTAATGACAAAGGGGTTAATACTTACTGTATCATTTCCTGGGCGCCAACCAGCAGGACAAACTGAAATTTATTACAGAGAAAACGTCATCAAAAATGATAATAATAGGCCATTTCCGAGTTCCCCCGGGCCTCTGTATCAAAACGAGGTTAAGTGCTCAGCCTTTGATATGGAAATGATTTTTCATTCTCATGCAAATAAAACTCATTTTCACAAGAACGGTTGTGGACTTGGCCTCTTTTTGAAAGTGAGGGCTTATGGAACTCCGAAGTGGCCTATTACGCTGGACAAAGTTTGGAAAAAAAAGCATAAAATGATACTGAAGACTTTTTATGGCTACATTTAAGGACTTCTATTCTGGTTCTAAAAAGAGCATACATGACTGTACAATAACATGTAGTTTTTCCCCTCACCCATGGTTCACCACACTCCATAATACGAGCAGCTTATTTAAATCTGTTGCTTTTAAACTTATACCCATGCCGGGAATTCATCAACGCGTTAAAATTGCTGGCCATAATTATTATTATGTGACTGATATTTGGAAGAAGTTTGGAAGGTACAGTGTAGAAGTGAATGATGGTCAGGAATGTTTCCAGTTTCACGTTTCCAGTAGTTAGGGGATGTTGAATTAAACTGCTACAGTAGCAGCCCCTTCAGGTTTTTCACAAGGGCAAGCTTGTTACATGTGAATGAACAAAGCAAACAGGGGAGGTGCCGACTCCAGTTCCCTTCTTGGTTTGTTTGCTCTATCTCTAGCCTCCCATGCACATGTTATTATAAGGCTTTGTCACGCATTCTTTCCCGACGTTTGTTGGGGAGGATTGCCTGATAAACCAAAGAGGCTACTCTCTCTCCAGTTCTGCCAAGAATTGACTCCATCAACCCTTTAAACCCTAAGATCAAAACTTGAATTATCATTTGTTGCCACTATTCAATCCCTACAGAAATAGTGGGGAGAAGGATGAAATATCAAGCAAATTCATCTTCTGTGATCATGTCCGTAATTCTCATAACCACTCTGTTTTACAAAGCATTGATATTACAAGGAGAAATTTGATGCTGATCACTCTTAGGGCTTAAAGGGTTAACTAAAAGGCAGGACTCTGAAAGGGTCTTGTTTTACAATCTGGGACAAGTGGATTTCCAGGCTGGGCAATAATAAAGCTCACTCGGCATTTGTTTTAAGGGAAGGGCACCAGGTGAAGCCATCTTACAACTAAATCACTAACTAAGAAGTGAACAAGGGCAAGCAAAATGTGTGTGATTCAAGTTTTTTTTAACCAACAAAAAAGACTACTAGCAGTCTGATGCGGGATGGTCTGGAAACAGTTAAAGTTGCAGAAGACCAACCTTAACATTATTTCTCATGTTTTCTTTCCCACAAAATTTCCACAAAAACCAGCTACAATCCTTCTAACATTAAGTTGGGACACCTGGTGCAGCACCAATATTGCAACAAAACATTGTTCTCCTTCCCTCCCAGTGTTGAATTTTTTGCTTCTGTGATGCTCACAAAAACCAACATTGAGGGAGCAGAACATAATTATCAGTACTGTTCAACTAATGTGCCGAGTATTGTAGCTCAACGTGCAGCAGAAATTAAGAATATTACTGTATATAATAAGTACAGACACACAAAAATGTTGGCAGCTCCCTACCTTCTCCATGTTTATCTGTAAATTGAAAAGCTTGAACCAAACGGAGAACCTCATCAACTGACCTTCCCACTGGTAAGTCATTCATGGTGATCTGACGTAGGATGCCCTTGTCATCAACGATAAATAAACCTCTACGGTAGGTAAACAATCATTACTACATGTACAACCAAATTTTATCACACCTAAGCCTCGTTCTCATAATTATGCCGCCAATGCACCTGCGTTGTAGCCGTCAGTGCCGCCTGGGCTACTTCTTGGACAAATGAGAACATGCAACACCGGCAACTCGAGCCATCGCAGAGCTTTACCACCGGCATGCCTGCGAAGTTTAACTCAAGTCAACTTCGAAGGCATGCCGGCAGTAAAGACTGGGAGGAAAAACATTACCAACCACTTCTGTTCTCATATCAGAACAGTATCCCAGGTAGTACCAGCGGCCATGTCGCAGGTGCATCAGCGGCATATGAGAACCAGGCTTTAGTGAAGCTTGATTTATCAATAAATTTATTCATATACACTGTAACTTATCAGATGCACCTAAACCTTTAGTCTTTGCGCATCTTTATGCTCACAAGCTAGAGCAACAAGAAAGCCTGAGGCCAATTAAGTAAAACGTCTACAAGTGCAATTTACAAGTGTAGGTAAACACTTATGTACAAACTAACTCACGGTCTTAATTCAACACTCCAAGAGTCGCACGAGGGGAAGCCATCAATTATTATTTAAATTTCGCGCGCCATATGCAAATAAAGACGTTTTTAAATTTTGGTTTTTTCCAAAAACTTTTGCAGACTGGAACTGCCTCCTTGAGGCAATTGTTTCATCAACCTCTTTAGGAACTTTTAAATACAGGTTACCAGCTTTTCTCAAATAATAGCTATATACAGTTTATATAGTTTTCTTTATTTAACTTTTTTATCATTATTTCATATATTAATAAATCTGTATTTTATTCATTTAGTTATTTCATTTCTTTATTTTTTGTTTTCATTTTTACAGTTGGTGTGATATCTTAACGATTTTACCGACCCAATACATGTAAAATGTAAATGTAAAGGTTAGCCTTTGTTATTAAGTTTCTTCGATCCTGCAGTAACATGTTTCTTCTCCGTACTAAAAAAAATTCATGGGAGAGAGAAAAGGGAGATTTTCTTTTGCTACTAATGACAAAGGGGTTAATACTTACTGTATCATTTCCTGGGCGCCAACCAGCAGGACAAACTGAAATTTATTACAGAGAAAACGTCATCAAAAATGATAATAATAGGCCATTTCCGAGTTCCCCCGGGCCTCTGTATCAAAACGAGGTTAAGTGCTCAGCCTTTGATATGGAAATGATTTTTCATTCTCATGCAAATAAAACTCATTTTCACACGAAAGGTTCTGCACTTGGCCTCTTTTTGAAAGTGAGGGTTTATGGAACTCAGAAGTGGCCTATTATGCTGGACAAAGTTTGGAAAAAAAAGCATAAAATGATACTGAAGACTTTTTATGGCTACATTTAAGGACTTCTATTCTGGTTCTAAAAAGAGCATACATGACTGTACAATAACATGTAGTTTTTCCCCTCACCCATGGTTCACCACACTCCATAATACGAGCAGCTTATTTAAATCTGTTGCTTTTAAACTTATACCCATGCCGGGAATTCATCAACGCGTTAAAATTGCTGGCCATAATTATTATTATGTGACTGATATTTGGAAGAAGTTTGGAAGGTACAGTGTAGAAGTGAATGATGGTCAGGAATGTTTCCAGTTTCACGTTTCCAGTAGTTAGGGGATGTTGAATTAAACTGCTACAGTAGCAGCCCCTTCAGGTTTTTCACAAGGGCAAGCTTGTTACGTGTGAATGAACAAAGCAAACAGGGGAGGTGCCGACTCCAGTTCCCTTCTTGGTTTGTTTGCTCTATCTCTAGCCTCCCATGCACATGTTATTATAAGGCTTTGTCACGCATTCTTTCCCGACGTTTGTTGGGAAGGATTGCGTGATAAACCAAAGAGGCTACTCTCTCTCCAGTTCTGCCAAGAATTGACTCCATCAACCCTTTAAACCCTAAGATCAAAACTTGAATTATCATTTGTTGCCACTATTCAATCACTACAGAAATAGTGGGGAGAAGTTGATGAAATATCAAGCAAATTCATCTTCTGTGATCATGTCCGTAATTCTCATAACCACTCTGTTTTACAAAGCATTGATATTACAAGGAGAAATTTGATGCTGATCACTATTAGGGCTTAAAGGGTTAACTAAAAGGAAGGACTCTGAAAGGGTCTTGTTTTACAATCTGGGACAAGTGGATTTCCAGGCTGGGCAATAATAAAGCTCACTCGGCATTTGTTTTAAGGGAAGGGCACCAGGTGAAGCCATCTTACAACTAAATCACTAACTAAGAAGTGAACAAGGGCAAGCAAAATGTGTGTGATTCAAGTTTTTTTTAACCAACAAAAAAGACTACTAGCAGTCTGATGCAGGATGGTCTGGAAACAGTTAAAGTTGCAGAAGACCAACCTTAACATTATTTCTCATGTTTTCTTTCCCACAAAATTTCCACAAAAACCAGCTACAATCCTTCTAACATTAAGTTGGGACACCTGGTGCAGCACCAATATTGCAACAAAACATTGTTCTCCTTCCCTCCCAGTGTTGAATTTTTTGCTTCTGTGATGCTCACAAAAACCAACATTGAGGGAGCAGAACATAATTATCAGTACTGTTCAACTAATGTGCCGAGTATTGTAGCTCAACGTGCAGCAGAAATTAAGAATATTACTGTATATAATAAGTACAGACACACAAAAATGTTGGCAGCTCCCTACCTTCTCCATGTTTATCTGTAAATTGAAAAGCTTGAACCAAACGGAGAACCTCATCAACTGACCTTCCCACTGGTAAGTCATTCATGGTGATCTGACGTAGGATGCCCTTGTCATCAACGATAAATAAACCTCTACGGTAGGTAAACAATCATTACTACATGTACAACCAAATTTTATCACACCTAAGCCTCGTTCTCATAATTATGCCGCCAATGCACCTGCGTTGTAGCCGTCAGTGCCGCCTGGGCTACTTCTTGGACAAATGAGAACATGCAACACCGGCAACTCGAGCCATCGCAGAGCTTTACCACCGGCATGCCTGCGAAGTTTAACTCAAGTCAACTTCGAAGGCATGCCGGCAGTAAAGACTGGGAGGAAAAACATTACCAACCACTTCTGTTCTCATATCAGAACAGTATCCCAGGTAGTACCAGCGGCCATGTCGCAGGTGCATCAGCGGCATATGAGAACCAGGCTTTAGTGAAGCTTGATTTATCAATAAATTTATTCACCATGAAGCTCAAGTGAGTGTCTAAGTTTCTAATTGAGTTTCCTGAGTCTAGAGAGAAAAAAGCTCACAGTTTCTTAGGGGTTTTTACACTTTTGGCTTGGGCAAGCAGTGAATTGTCCCTGACGCATAAAAATCCTCAAAGACGCAAATAATTCACGGCACGAGTCTCATGGGATGCAAAGATAGATAGGTAGATCGATCAATGTTTTTGGAAAAAATCACTGGGGAAAGTTGGTGAAAATCTGTTGACACCCCTGGAAAGAACACCTTTAAATCGGTATATTAAAAGAACCTGAATTTAACCAACAAAAAATATACATGTAGTTCCACAAAAGCACCAAATTTTACAGACATTATGTCCAGGGGGCACGTTTGTGCCCCTCACCTAAAAATTTGTAACATTTTATGTCTTTGCAGAGCCATATCTATTGCTGGCTGGCTTCAAATGTATCAATTCCAAACTTGGGAAGTTTCCCATTATTCCTGCAGTGTTGATGAATAATAATATTGTTAACTGGTGCCTTTCAAAACTTAAAAAAAATTGTGGAAGGATCTGCACTTATCTGAGGGAGGTGCCTTTTGGAAGCTGGGGCCAAATTCTCATTTTTACAGATGAGTCAGATGAGTAAGGATATGTACAAGCAATTCAAAATCTTCTAACCTGAGTGCCACACCCTGGTCTTCTAACAAAACACCATAGTCCTTGGAAATTTGCTTTGTGATATCAGACAGAAGAGGAATATTCATTGTCCCAAGGCCACCCTTCTTACGTGGTTTCTCAGTCCTAAAACAAGAGACAGCAATACCAAAAATGTGACCTCTCACTCGAAAATGCTCTTTAAGGTTTGCCATTTCAAAAAGGATAGCCATTTGTATGCTGGATGTTTATCAGCCGTTCAATGGATTGGGTATCTGTTCGAACGTGCTCAAGTTATCCATTCAAAAGAAAGTGTCAGCTGTGCAAACGGTTCTGGCTATGCCTTTGAAACAAAATTGCAGCCATTTGAACAGCTCAAGCTATCCGTGCAAAAAAAAAAAAAAACAATACCTATTGTTAGCCTGTTCGAATGGCTGGAGCTACCTCTTTAAAGAAAAATTTTAGCCAGGCCCAAAACAATTTTGTCGCCAGCTAGCCTAGCCACTTGCTTTGTTACTTGAGTGGTCACACTATGAACTTTGTTTACTACTCTATTATAGCCATCTTTGCTTTCATAATTTCTATTGACAGTATCGACATGTTTTACTCAACTCAACAAGTTTCCTCAAAATAATGTTTTAACTTTTCACAGACATGTATATATCAAACAATACAAGATCAAAAAGATGTGATATCTCCAGGGAGAATACACACTGTGGCTTATTCCAAGCCTGCTGGCTTTTTCTCACTATAAAAAAAATTGAAAAAACTGTGCCTTTTCACTTTTTGGATAGGAGAAGGGCAATGTAATAAAATATTTCCTGTCCCCTGCTGTTGCCTATTTGTCCCTTTGCAAGGGCCACAGAGGGACAAATTGTCTCCTGAGGCAATAAAGCTGGCTCAAACCCTGAGATACCAGTGCTGCTTTGGAGATGATACTAACCAGGATTAGATTACATCTGCAAAGCAGGCTATACTCAGTACTATTACCATAATCTTAAATGTGTGTACATGTACTTCCAACTAACACTTTACAGAAATGGAAACAGACAAGTACATTAAAACTGAACTGGCACAGAACAAAATAAAAAATAAAAACGAGGGCTTACCAAGCAAGATGGCTAAAGTGTGAATCAACAGAACAAGCAATAACCTCACAATTAATGGCACGGAATTCTTCAACTCTGTCACTAAAGGCAATGATCTCCGTTGGACAAACAAATGTGCTAAAAAAAAAAAAGAAACAAACACAGAAGACAAACAGATGTAAGTAGTTCCAAGGCCTAAAGAGACTGCGGCAAGACAGTGAGATTGACATAGACAATAAAAATAATTAATAATGTCCACTGTACTACAGTTAGATTGTACTCAAAATGGTTTGGTTAAACATCACATATTGGACTTGATGATAAAAAATGTTCTGCTTGTACAAAATAAGCATTAGATAACAGTACTCCAAGCTGCCACTGTTTTGGTCACCATGACATTGAAACTGACTAATGTCTGCTGGCAGTGTGCTAAATAAGCAGAAGTGTTTTTACTAGATTTGTGTTTATGGTTTCCCCTAAGTTTAAGTGAGATCATGAAACATCTGCATGAAAAGTTTATTGCTCCATTTTTTTTATTTTAACCTCTTGCACCCTCGTCTTGCACACCTTAAAATTTCCATGTGCCTTCAAGCACTTCATGTAATAACGTAGAGGTTTTTTTGTTTTCTTTCTGACTCCACTATTTTTTTGCCTGGTAACTATTTCACAATAAATTCTATTTTAAGGTTGACAAATTAAAAGGCAGACTTTGAAGAATTGAGCATGATCATTGAGAACACAGGTTTTAACAGTTTGGTATTGCTGTTAGCATAATCCAGTGTGCACATCAGTTTGTCAATGATAAGAGTACCTTTACTGGAATTGAGACAGATGCATTGACAAACCACATGTTTAATATCATATGTAGTTTAAAAAACTCATTAATGTTCAGTAGGCATATTGTCCAATTGACTCGGCGGATTTAATAATGTGTAAGGACCTTTACACCCTGAAAACTCTGTAAACTGAAAAGACAGGCGAGGGATTTGAATTCAGCCTCAGGGGATATACGAGGTTGAATGACTGAAACAATGGAATACCAATATAGGATGGACATTTTATGTAAAGAGTACTAATAGATATGAAATTTTATATAACAGTTCTCCTAATTTGCAAATAAGTGAAAAGTCAAAAAAAATGAAAAAATTTATCTTCCAGATAAAGTTTTAAAAAAAATTTCATCCTTCAAAGAACAAAAAACCATTGACTGGTCAGAACACTCTACTTGGGCACATTTTCGTCTTGTGCAGGCGGTTAACTGTGAATTTTTTTAAATTTGGAAAGCCGTATTGTACTTCAAACATTTGTTATGTTTGCTGCTTTTGTTTGACTTTTTTCAATCAACTGTCACATTTAAAAATAAAAAATGCACTGTTTAGCAAACCTATTGAAATGAAAAAAATGCACTGGGGACATTTATTTATGAAGTTGTTTAAAGCACTCACTGCACATGATTTATCGCTGATTTACGCTCTTGCCCTCCAACATGGTGGCCAAAACTACTTCTTGCTTATATCTTGTTCAACGTTTCATAGTTACGCTCAGGTGTGCTGTAAATGTTATCACATCATCTTTTCAACATTTTCCTTGAAGTTTAAGTGCAAAATTTGTGTTCAGAGAGAGGTAATTCATAATTTTAAAAATCACATTTTAGTCACATGACCATTTACAAACATATTCATTTTAAGAAAATGGTGCGGGTTTGAAAAACCAAATCACCATTATTTTGTTTAAGATATGACCCACTAATTGTTTTTGGAAGGCAAAATCATACAACTTTCATTTTCATAAGAACGATGTCACATGCCTCTTAGTGCAAATTGCCTATGTTAACTAGAGACAAATCACTGCTGTTCCTCCTTTAACCCATTGACTCCTGAACTTTTCTCTAATATTGCTTCAGTTTTGACATACATACACTGAATAACATCTCAAAAGTTCCTTGTCAGGTAAAAGTACCTATAATCATACATATTTAGAAAGTAGACATATCAGGGTTTCAAAAAACATATAAATTATATATGTATTAACTTAGTGTTTGTTTGAAGAGTTGTTTGCCAAAAGCAGACTCTCACAGTTGACAATGTACATCTTGTGGCCACCAAAGCACCTGCTTGCTCTCTTTCTTCGATATTATCTCTGATTTTCTTGACCAGCACACCGTGTATCTGCATGCTCAAACTCTGAATTGATGCCAGTATCGAACTAATCTTTACTTAACCTGAATCATCGCTAAATCCAGTACTTACTTTGAATATATTTTGATCAACCCCATTTGTGTCTGACACCATTTTTAAAGGTTATCATTAGAACAACGAGGAAATACGGCCAAATAGTTAGTCCAAAGTGGCGAAAAAACCAATTGAAATTGAATCATAGGATAAAAAACTTCATACAAGCAACATAAAGTGTCATTTGACAAAACATGGCGACTTTCAGAGCCTTTTGTGGGAAAAAATGTACACCCTATTTGGAAGCGTGAGTAAAAGCGCGCTCAGGAGTCATAGGGTTTAATAAACATTACATAGGACCTTATATCCATATAGTTACAACTTTTTCAATCCAAGGGCATCCATCTAAGATAACAATAATGACACAATGTCTGACATTATTTTTGAATCTCTTGAAAACAATATTTAAAATGTACATTGCTGGACTTAAGGCAATATCTAGCAAGGGAAGTTGAGGTTATCACTACAAATAAAACCATGGAGCTTACAATATAAAATTTTGCATGATGCTAGCTGTTCTAAGACATTCCAAAATTTGACTTGCTACGATGGAAGGACCGGAGTAGAAGTACAGGGCACATGTTTGTTTTGAAATGTCACTGTTTAGATACACAACAACATGTTTTGAAACTTTGCACATTTCAAGACCCTCATTTGTGTACTGCCTTTCAGAATCAATGTTCAGGTGATACCCGACAGAATGTCTCTTGCAATATTATGATAATATAAAATAAAATTTCATCTTCAAGGGAAATGCCATTTCTTCAACTGAGCAGAAAAAATGGAATTATGAATGGAAATGAGATCAATCAGTACTATAATTTGAGAAACAATATTTATCTACTGTCGAATCGCGATAACTTGAACCTTCTACTAGTGGTGGGCCGATGATCGATTATAATCGAAAGTTGATCAAAAAGTTCAAGTGATGCGACAATCGATTATGCTTTTTTCATAATCGATTGTTGCGGAAAAATTAAAAATTTATTGGTGACAAATAAAGTATTAAAATCAATAAAGATGTACGTTTAATATCTTGGTGTGAGTTATCTTTTTTCGTGGACTCCTAACTTCTAAGTCATAACAGCAGGTATAATCTAAGATTGAATGTGTTTACCTGTGCGTACCCTGCGCACTGTGTTGTTGTCACTTCAAATACACCACGCTTATTTGAAAGATGTGGCATGCTAAGATGCCTTGTATTTCGTAAACAACTGAACCAAAACATAAATTACAAGCTCAGTGTTCCATGTTTGTAATATCACTACTATCACTAGCGAATGAAAGGTATTAAAAAACAACATCGCAGCGAAATGTCACCTCAAATTAATTCCCAGGGTCCTCTCTCAGACCTGCCTCGCTTACATGTTGCTGACGAGTCCAACATGGCAGCTGAAATGGCCGAGTTGGAGATCTGTCGTTATCCTGGAAATGCCAGGTCAAAAGTGTGGGAATATTTTGGTTTTTATCAACTTAAGGAAGGGCCCAAAACAAAGGAAAACTTGGATATGACAAAGGTAATCTGTAGGCTCTGCAGAAAGCAATAAACCAACAAAGGTTTGTGGCACGCGTGTTTTGTTGATTTCGTGTCAGTCTCATTGAACTGCTGCAATGTAATCTTGAACTCAAAAACAGTTTAAAAACTTTAATCTATCACTTTGACTTCTACGTAGGTGAAAAATACATGGAATGCTCATTGGTAGATTTTACCGATTATAATCGATGATCGATCGATTGGGGCAATCCTATTATTTCCGATGATCGATTGTGAAATCTAAACCCATTCCCACCACTACCTTCTACGGAAATCGAAAAAGGTTTGAGTCATCAGGAGTTCGAAGCAAATAACTGTAAGTATATGTAATAGGACTACATGCTGTCCAATTTGGAAATAATTGGATGAAAAAAATTCCGAGGACAGCCAAAATTTGGCTGTCAGAGGAATTTTTTGAATTCAGTTATTTCCAAATTGGACAAGCATGTAGTCCTCTTACTTATTAATAATAATTATTATATAGCTGGTTAGTTAATACAGATTTTTTAGCCTGACACAGATGCAAAATATAGTACACTCAAACCGTTTGTAGTTGAAACAAAAACACACTAATTTAAATACAAAACCTATTGAAAATAAACATTTCATTCATTACCTCAAACGATTTCCGCACACTTTGTCTGTTTTTTTTTTTCTAAAGTCAAGTATCAGTGTTTTCTTATTCTTGTCCAAAGTTTCAGTGCTTGTACATTTTCATGATTCTACGCGTTGACTGTTTCCAATACAAACCTTCATCAGTTTGGTCATAAATTTCCTTTTAACTGGCTCAGACAAGAAGCCAAAACAAAACAGCAGCAAAACAAAATGACATTCACAGCAACAAGAAGCCAAGACTAGTGTTTGCCGACGAACCACCGTCAGCCAATGAAACTTTTTTTGGTGTGTTGTCACTGGGACGTCGTTGCTCTGATTGGCTAGTTTGCATTGCCTATTGTATTTTTTGGCATTTCATTGGCTCAGACCAGCTGTCCTATTTTTCTTAAATTGGGCAGTTTGCCTATTTGTAAAGCAAATGCAAAGCCCTACCTGAAACTATCCAAATTAACCCTTAATTGGACAGTTCATAAAAATTAAAGGATAACAGCTTTGCTGACAATATCGGATTAACTAACAGCTACATAATTGATAAGCAAATAAGCAAATGTTTAGGGAGGGAATGCAAGTATCATGCACAGGGATGGACACTATTAACATTGAACTGAAGAGACAAAAACTAAAGACAAAGAATTGACATGGTTGTTTGAAATAAATTCAATGTTTCGAACTTCAGTAAATCTTTTTATGTTTCGAACTTCAGTAAATCTTTTTTTTCCAACTTGCCACTCGCTAAAAACATGGTTCAAGTTATTAGTAATGGTAACAGGACTGAGCGGAGTCCAATTCGGTCTGTAATCATACGAGTGATTAACAAAATTGGACGACCGCATAGCGGGAGTCCGATTTGTTTAATCACGAGTATGATTACAGACCGAATTGGACGACACGAAGTTCTGTTACCAATTAATCATAACTTTAACAAAATTCTGGGTTCGAAATAATACCTGTCTACCTGTCGATTTCAGGTAATTTTAGGAAGTGACAGGTAAAAAATATTGATGCCTGTCGCTGGCGACAGGCAAGAAAAACCTCAATAATTCATAATTTATCAATTTGAATAATATTTCCATCCATTTTCCACCAGCATGCGTGCTCACTCGTTCAGTTCATTGGAGTTCTCGCACAGGACTCGCACGGTATATGCGGTAGTTACCAGGCTCTACTCAATAAAAACGAGATGATGCAATCTTTGTAGTGCGCATGACGAGATAACAAATGCCATATGACTTGCTTTGCTTCTTCGTCGATCGAAACATTATAATCGGATGATGATACGGATCGCTTTCTGCTAAAGCGAAAAAGTGCTAAGGAAGCGGAAGTGGAAGAAGTTCATGTAGAAGAGAATTTGGCAGCACCGACAACGAAACGTAATAATGTACGAGTATTCAAGTTCAATGAGAAATGGAATTAGATGGGCGTCCATGGTTGTCGTTGGAGGATGGAAAGATGTTCTGTTCTTACTGCAAAGTGTTTGACAAAACAAGCAGAAACAAATTCATCACAGGTTGTGAATCGATGCGCATGGAGAATGTCCGCTCACATGAAGCAAGCAATGCTCATAAAACTAGCCACTCGGCGTTCTTAAACAGTAAAAAACGTCCAGCAGAGCAGCCCATCGTCAAAGCGCTGATTAACATGGAAAACCACAACACTGACCTCATGAAAAAACTGTTCACAACTGCGTTTTTTGTGGCCAAAAACGAAAAGCCGTACACAGATTTTGTCAAGTTAACAGAACTCCAAGCGGCAAACTATGGTGATGAGATCCTAACAAAACACTACAATAGTGATAAACAAGCGAATGAATTTATTCATTACATTGCCAAACATGAGAGTGACACGAAATTGCGCAAAATTAACAGTTCAGAATTTATTGCTGTTGCATTAGATGGGTCTACAGACTCTGCCAATGTCGAAGAGGAGTCCTACTTTGTTTCATATCTAGATGAGGACTGCGAGCCTTGTATAGATTTTGTGAAAATCGTTGGAGTTGAAGGACGTGCAACAGCACAAGGCCTTGCAGATGGCTTTTTTGCAACCTTTTCTACTCTTGACGTGGACGTGAAAAGCAAATGTGTTCAACTGGCAACAGATGGACCTCATGTAATGAAAAACATGTGCAAACTAGTCAGAAATGAAATTAAATGGCTGTTGGAATTTCATTGTGCAAATCATCGTCTGGAATTGTCGTTTAAAGATGCAGTAAAGACGATACCACTGTATAATGATGCACACAGTTTACTAGATGGGCTCTATCATTTCTATGCCAACAGTAACCTCCAGTCAAGATCTCTAAAAAAGACAGCAGAACTTTTAGGAGTCAATTCAGTGGTTCATCCCACAGCCAAAGGTACAAGGTGGGTAGCACACAGGGAACAAGCTGTGAAAGCACTTGATAGAAATTATGTTGCAAATGCTGCCCAGTTACAAGAATGCAACCTGGACAACACTCAGAGGCAAGAAACCAGAAACAAGGCTCTTGGACTAAAGGAAAAACTTCTAGATGAGAACCTTGTTGTATTTATATTTGCTGTTTTTAAAGTCTTACTAGCTATATTTGCAAGTTTAAGTTGTGTCTTGCAATCTGATGATGTAAGCATAGACACTGTTGTGAGTATGATCAAACGTACCAAAAGGGAACTTCAAAGTTTTGACTGTGAGAATAAAATAAAGGAATTTAAGGATTCCCACATAAAGGATGGAAAATTCAGAGATGTTCAACTGAAACAGAGCAGAACAAGGCATGAAAACAATGTTAGAAATCAAAGTGAACAATTGGTGAACCATCTAAGGCAAACTGTTACTGACAGGTTCGGGCCATTGAATGATGGCAACATTGATGTATGTCCTGAAATGTCCTTATTTTCAATATTTGATACAAGTAGACTACCAGATTGTGGTGGAGATGACATTTCACTGTATGGTAAAGTTGAAATTAGTAAATTAGTTTGTCATTTCCATGATCTGTTACTTATCAAAGGCTATATGAACCAGGGAAGATAGAAGAAGAAAGAGTTTCTTTGTGGGAGCATGTAAGAAATGTTTTAGCAACCACTACAAGTGATGGCCGTACAATTGAAACGTTTTGGCCCAAGGTGTTAAGAAAGAAAGGCAACTCAGAATTAAGAAATATTTTGAGTTTGGTAAAAATATTATTAGTTTTGATTTACTCAACTGCTTGTGTTGAACATGGCTTCAGCCTTATGAATAGAGTGAAATCTGACTGGAGGTGCAAACTCAAAGAAGACTCACTTAATGACCTCATGCATGTTGCCCTTAGCAGGGTCACTGTAAAGAACTTTAACCCTGAGCCTGCCATTGAACTATGGATGGATGATGCTAAAAAACCCAGGAGACTAGTGGATGCCTATGGGCACCAAAGGCCTAAACAGGCTGAGACAAAATAAACTGACATGTCATTGCTTCTATCATTTTATTACTAATATTGTCAATTGTAAAACCACAGTTCAATTTTGTTATCGCTAAAAAAAGGAAAATAAATGTTTAAATTATTGTTCAGCTTGGATGTTGGTGGAGACAGGTAAAAAAATATTCTACCTGTCACCAGACACAGGTAAAGAGTCTGGGAACATTTCGACCCCTGAAATTTGTGATGTAATAGGCTATTCTTTAAATCAAAACACAAGAAATTCGAAATTTTGTTTTGTTAGCAGTGAAAAAAAAAGCCATTAAAGCGCGCGCGTGATGGCATGTACTGTCCAATTACTTAGGCATGACGTGTACTTTCCTATCAAACTGTCCAATTAAGGCTGAAATCAGGGCAGTTGATAGCCAATCAGATTTGAGAATTTTGTTATAGTTATGATTAAAGGTAAAATTATATAGGAATGATCTCAAGGGAAACAAAAATTACTTCCAGTTAGTGGGAGGTTTGAGTTGTCAAGGGTTAGAAATGACAGTAAATGTATGGAGGAAATCGACTTTGGTTCGACTTAGAACAAGGTCCGAGTTAGTGATGGTTTGAATCAACTGTAGTTNGGCCTAAACAGGCTGAGACAAAATAAACTGACATGTCATTGCTTCTATCATTTTATTACTAATATTGTCAATTGTAAAACCACAGTTCAATTTTGTTATCGCTAAAAAAAGGAAAATAAATGTTTAAATTATTGTTCAGCTTGGATGTTGGTGGAGACAGGTAAAAAAATATTCTACCTGTCACCAGACACAGGTAAAGAGTCTGGGAACATTTCGACCCCTGAAATTTGTGATGTAATAGGCTATTCTTTAAATCAAAACACAAGAAATTCGAAATTTTGTTTTGTTAGCAGTGAAAAAAAAAGCCATTAAAGCGCGCGCGTGATGGCATGTACTGTCCAATTACTTAGGCATGACGTGTACTTTCCTATCAAACTGTCCAATTAAGGCTGAAATCAGGGCAGTTGATAGCCAATCAGATTTGAGAATTTTGTTATAGTTATGATTAAAGGTAAAATTATATAGGAATGATCTCAAGGGAAACAAAAATTACTTCCAGTTAGTGGGAGGTTTGAGTTGTCAAGGGTTAGAAATGACAGTAAATGTATGGAGGAAATCGACTTTGGTTCGACTTAGAACAAGGTCCGAGTTAGTGATGGTTTGAATCAACTGTAGTTTGTAAAGTCAGCTGGTTCAGAAGGCTTTCATTCACGATGCGCAATCAGAAGAACACAGCAAATTATTTTCTTACAGGCAGCAAAGTATGACATTAAGTATTTTTTCTCTGTGCTCAAAAAACAAAACACAATACATACATACATTAACTTTAGGGATAAAAAAAAAATGCAGTGATTCTTGGATAGCTTTTTGCTGATTAAAATATTCAGCAAACAGAAATAAAAACAAATAGTCAATTTGCTTGAGGCTAGTTACCTTAAACATATTTAATTGAACAGTTTTAAAACAAAACAAAATATTCAGTGATCAAGATATTTTCCTAATAACTCTTCTGTATTCCTTATGATTTAACATTTAAATTTACTAGTTCATCTAAAAAACAAACTTCAGTATGCCTGTACACAAAAAAGGAGCTACTGTAGAAGCAGTGAGTGAGTGAATATCCCCAAGAAATGAGGATAAAATTATACTTGTAGCTACACTAAACATTTTCTTGATTTTTGGTCCTTTGATGCAAAACAGGTTATTAAAAATTTGCTTGAGGGCAAAACTCCAGAAGGATATTCCGGTATTTTTTTAAACAAAAATTTTTTTGAACAAAAATCATAAATAAATAGGAATTAATAGGTCTCTTTTACACTAGTACTCAAAAAAGTTGTTTATAGATAAACAACAAACAGGCAAGTTTTTTAGGCCGTGGAGGAGAAAATCGAAAAGTAGAAGGCAAAAAAGCACCTTTTTGAATCAGTCACCAAATTCCTGAGCAGAAAAAAAAAACTTACACAAAAAATGATGTACCCAAAATCGCACTTAGATCCATTACATGGACGAAAGAATTCGATTCCATTTATTCCGTTTCGTGTAAGAACAATGAAAAATTGAGCATATCGGCTGCTGAAGTTCCCATGTTCAATTTCCAAGTTTACTTTACAAGATAAATGAGGTTTACTTAAGCTTAGAAATCAAGCCGATGATCAGATAGATATAAATCGCAACGGGCCTTAGGCCTCGAAAACATAACAAGATTTAGCGGCCCAGTATAAAAATTATTAATATTTATAATGTCATTACGAATAAGTCGCACAAATTGCACTTTAATTACAATTACTGTGATGTAGAATCTTGAAATTTGAAATAAACTAGCTCGATAGCCAGGGACAGGTGATTTTTGAAAGCACATCAATTTTTATGAAAAACATTCACCATTACGTCAAAATTAAGCAAAATTTCCAAATTCCAATTTGTAAAGTGTTGAAAAACAAATAACTGAGACTATGTGAAAGTAGAACCAAAGAGTTTTCATGTGAATGGTCGATCACAACACAGAATTTCATCCACAGACTCAAAAGTTTTCAATAGGAACACCAAGACAAGACTGAGTGAAACGGTTAAAAGCTTCAATCTGGAAAATCACAGCGCCTCACCAAGCTACCGACCGTGAAATGTCCTAGGTGTTCGGTTGATAGTGAGCATAAATAACGGGAAAGGTGAAGAAGGCGACGACCGTGCAAAAATTGTCGCGGTTCAACCGTTGTAGGGTTCAGATGATACAACGCACGTCCGTCGTAAAAATCTGATTATAAGCCTACCATTCAACCATGTCGACATTAAAAGGGTTTAATATTTCCGACTATAAAAGGCAGCTGAGTGTGCAAAACTTGAAAACCATTACGCGATTCTAAAATGTTAAGATGGATCGGTCGCAGCGGACCAAAAGTAAATAAAATAACAAGAACGATAAACACACTTAGATAGTCAAAGTCATCGATGAGCTAAACGAAGAATGCTTCAACCCGTAAAATTTCAACTATTAATTAAGACATAATATAGGGTATGTAGTACTTACAAATCGAGGGGATAGAAGAACAAAACCAGATATTTTCCTGTAAAAACACAATAACAAAATGTGAGCAAAAGCAACGCTTCGAAGCAAACCAGTGTATAATCGAGAAAAACT